AGCTCCATAATGCATATTTGTTGATAAGTCTACCTCTGATCCTGATGCCACCCTTCTCTTCATAGATCCCAGCCTCCTGGATAATGTATTCTGTATATAGATTGAAAATATATGAGATATGACACATCCTTGGCACACACCTTTCCCAAGATTGGGCCATGCAGTGTTTCCTTGCTCTGTGCTGATGAGTGCATCCTGGTGCAAGTATAAGTTTCGCATAAGCACAATCAAATTTGTGGAATTCCAATTCTTTTTAGAATCAACCACAGTTTGTTGTGATCCACACAGTCAATTGCCTTTTCATAGTCAATGAAACACAGATAGACATTCCTCTGGTATTCTCTGCTTTCAGCCAAGACCCAGCTGACATTACCTATAATATCCCTACGGCCACATTCTCTTCTATATCCAGTCTGCACTCCAGGAAGCTCTCTGTTGATGTGGTATTCCAGTCCTTTTTGGAAAATCATCAACATAATCGTGCTTGCATGTGATATTAATATTGTTTTATAATTTCCACACTCTGACATATCACCTTTCTTCTGAATGGGAACAAATACCAATATCTTCCAGTCAGTTGGCCAGGTGATTGTCCTCCAGATTTCTTGGCACAACCTGGTGAGCACATCCAAGGCAGTATATATTTGTTGAAATATGTCAGTTGTTATGCCATCAATTCCTAGGGCCTTGTTTTTTTATATATAACATATTTCCTTCTATATGAAAATGTTTATTTTATTAACTAAAAAATTGTTTGTGGATATTTTCCAAAAAGAAGAAGTATTCCTAAGTAGACCTCCTGTACAGCATCAATTAAACAAAATATGGAGGCCAATTTCTTCAGTATTCTAAGTTAAGGGCTCACATACTGAACATAAAGCCTCATATCTTGTCTGCGAGCACAGACACCACCCACAGGCACAACTGATATGAGTGTTTCAGCTGCAAAGAAGTTTACACCTGAAAACATGTGAGATTCTCTAACCAGTTTCTAACACACCATTGTATTAATGTAGAGGAAGGGGAAATGCCTTTAAATGTTTCAAATCCAAAAGCTGCTCCATGAGAGAAAGGTAGTTAATCCCTTCTATGCAATTATAGTTTTTGAAAATCTGCAAGAGGATCCCCTATGAGTCTATTCTGATTTGACAGTGCATAACAATAATATA